AAAACTAAAAAGAGGAAGTCAGTAAACACTAGATATTCTGTACCTACAGCCAGGATTCTGGCTAAAAACATATTCTACCCACTTTCAGGAATTGTGAAAGGTAGATCTGAGGCTGTACATTGTGGCTGATGCTAACCAGTAATGTGATCGACTGTCAGGTTTTACCGTGACATCTTTACCTTCTTACTGTCAAGAAGTATCTCAGAAATCTTCATGCCCTTTCCCACTCAAACCTCTCTACAAAAGTAACCACCACTCTGACCTCTACCATTATAGTTTTTTCTACTTATGAATTTTAAATAAATGGATTCATACAATAAATTCTTGCCTTTGGGTTATTTTTGAAAAGTGAAATGCATGCTTGCTATATATAATAGTAGCATGCTGTTTTTCATTTCTGGGTAGAATTCCATTAAATAAAATTGACACAGTCTTATATATCCACTTTATAGTCAAAGGACTTTGTGGTTGATTCTTCAACTATTTTGAATAAAGCTTCTATGAGCTTGTGTATATTTTCTGGAAGACATGGGTAGTTATTTGTTTTCGATATAGTGCTGGAATTGCACATATTCAGCTTTTTTTAGTGTAAATATGGTCAAATACTTTAAAAAGTGAATGAAACAATTTGTATTGCCATCATCAATACTGATAATTCCATTGGTACAGATACAACATTTGGTCCTTTCAGTCTTTTTAACTATTGCCCATTTCTTGAAGTTGTAGTATCACATTGTAGCTTCAATTTGCATCTTGATGAGTAATGATCTTGAAAATATATTTTTCATGTGGTTTATAACTTAGATATTCTTCAAGAATTATTCTCTCACCTTTTAAAAACTGTTCTGTTTTTCAGTTGGGAAGGTATAAGTAAACTGCTAGAACACTAGACATGTTCCATATCTTTATCTGTATGTTGGTTTCAAAGATATAATATGTATATCAGGATTTGCCCTTCCTGTATATTAAGGAAATTACTATCTAGCAAGGACATAAAGATATTCCTCCTAGGTTTTCTTTTAGAAATTTATCTCTTTAGCCTTTAACATGTAGTTATGAGCAATCTCAAATGAATTATTATGATGTGATAAAACATAGGATCAAGGTTAATATTTTTCAGAAGCATATCTAAATCAACAAAAGCATTTACTCAAAACCACTTCTTCCCCACTTTGTTGCAGTGGAATATTTTGTGTAAATCAGGTGACTGCATGTATGTTTCTGGACTGTCCTATTCCATTTGTTCAGTTTTCTCTCTGTGCTAATGCTACCCTGTCTTAATTATTGTAACTTTGCATAAGTCTGTGTATCTGTGTTTACTTCTTCAGCTTTAGAGTTCTAAATTGTCTTACTATTCCAGGGTCTTTGTGTACTGAAGTGGTTATCATGGACATCCTTGCCCTGTTCTCAAATTCAGATACAATACTTTCCCATTAATTATGATATTAGTTGTAGGGCTTTTTGTAGCTACCACGGACTGTAGAGAGATTGAGCTAAAAATTAATGACAGAAAGATCATTATAAAACTCCTAAAATCTGGAAATTTGACAATACAGCTAAATTGAACTAGGACTAGGTTGAAGCAAACAAGGAGCCTAATGGGCAAAAGTGACAGGTTCTAGGAACCTGTGAGTGAGTGACTCCTTAATGTTGTGCTCTGGGATCCTTGCTTATTTTACCTTGGTCCTGGTCCTCAATATAAATAGCCCAGAGCTCCTCTAAGAAATCTCAGTGGAAAAGGGAAAATGTTGAACTCAATAATGTTGAATACAATCACAAAATTTATGAGATGGAACTAAAGCAATTCATAGACATTTATCTCTAAATACATGTACAGTTGGCCCTCTGTACATGTGGATTCTGAACCCATGGATCCAATCAACCTTGGATTGAAAATATTGGAAAAAAATTGCATCTGTATGGGGCTGGGGTTGTGGTTCAGTGGTAGAGAGCACTCGCCTAGAGCGTGCGAGGCCCTGAGTTCGATCCTTAGCACCACATAAAAATAAATAAATAAAAACAAAGGTATTGTGTACAACTAAAAGAAATAAATATTAAAAAAAATTGCATCTGTATTTAACACATAGAGACTTTCTTCTTCACCATCATTCCCTAAACAATATAGTATTTACATAGCAATATGTATTATAAAAAATTTAGAGATAATATGAAGTATTCAGGAGCTTTTTTTTTTTTTTTAGGTTATAAGCACATATTACATCATTTTATATAAGTGACTTGAGCATCCACAGATTTTGGCATCTGCGTGGAGTTCTGGAAACAATTTCCCATGAACACTGAAGAATGGTTATATTTAGAAAGAAGAAAGTTTGAGAAATGAATGATTTAAGTCTGCTGTCTGTAGAACTTTCTGTAATGATGGAAATGTTCTGCATCTGCTCTTGCCAATATGCTACATGTGGCTACTGAGCTATAGAATTGTGGCAACTATGACTGAGGCATTGAATTTAAAAAATATTTATTTTTGATTAATTTAAAATTAAAAGAATCATTTTTACAATAGAACTTCAAGTAATTTATGTACTCTTCCCTCAAGGAGACCTCATGCCCTGTTCTGGGCATAGGCAGGATTTAATGGCTTAGTTCACTGTAAGCTATATCAACACAGTTGGCAGGCTAGCTCCAGATGCAACTTCAAAAGCATGAGGTTCAAGGTTCAGTTGCTTGGTCAAGTTTCTTATGCCTGGGACAGTTAGCCAGAATTTCCAAAGAATAGTGTATGAAGGGGAAAGAAAGCAACTTTACCAAGGAGAAACCAACAAGTCCCATTGATGGCATGTATCCCTAAGATTTGGTGAGAAGGGCACATCATGTCTTTCATATTCTTCTAAAAACCCAGTGTAACCACAAGAAAAGCATCAAACCCAAACTGAGATACATTCTGAAAAGTATCTCACCTTTACTCCTTAAAGTTGTCAAGATCTTCAAAAATAAGGAAAGTTTGAGAAACTGTCTCAGACCTGGAAAAGATAAAGAAACAGGATGACTAAGTGCAATTCATTGTCCTGGATGGGAATCAGAAAGAGAAAAAGGGTATTAGTAAAAAAAAAAAAAAAAAAAAAAAAACAAAAACAAAAATTAGTGAAATGTGAAGCCCAGAGTTTAGATAATAGTTTTTATTGATCAATACTGGCATTATTGTGCAGTCAAAAGATAATTTCACATTCATACATCTTAGACATTGTAAATATCTCTTCTACATCTATGATCTCTTCATTTTGACTATGGTATACTCTACTGAACAGATAAAGGAATAGTATTTTAAAATCCTGTAGATTTTTAAAATAATTAACACTTTACTCTATAACCTCCTAGGTTAAAAAAGTGAGAATCACTAAGGAAATTAGGATTTCCTTGGAATTGAAGGAAAATTAATATATTATGATACCAAAATTGTGGGACACAGTTAAATTAGTAAAGGTAAATTTACAGCACTACATACTAGGAAAATAAAAGAGATTTTGCAAACAAATGAGTTAGGCATTTACCTAAAAAAAAAAATTATAAAGAGGAGCAACACATCCTTGTAGAGACAGGATGGAAGGAAATAATAAGAGTGGAAGAAATAAATGGAGAAGGTAACATATAAATAAAACCAAAACCTTTAAAAAAAGATTACTGAGAGGCTAGCCTCAGCAACTTAGATCCTGTCTCAAAATAAAAACTAAGAAGGGCTGAGGATGTAGCTCAGTGGTAGAGTATCCCTGGGTTCACTCCCCAATTAAACAACAACAACAACAACAACAACAACAGCAAATCAAAAACAAGGCTGGGATTGTGGCTCAGTGATAGAGCACTCGCCTAGCATGGGCGGGGCCGGGTTCGATTCTCAGCACCACATAAAAATAAAGGCATTGTGTTGTGCCCATCAACAAAAAAATAAAATATTCTCTCTCTCTCTCAAAAAAAAAAATCAAAAACATACATACACACCCAAAAATTACTGAAATAAATAAACTTGTAGCAGAACTGATAAAAACCTGCAAAAAAGATTGGGCAAACTACTCCACCCCCACTTAATACTGGGGATTGAATCCAAAAGTACAGCTTCCACTGTACTACATCTCCAGCCCTTTTTATTTTTTTGAAACAGGGGAGGGAGGTGTCTCATTAAGTTGCCTAGGCTGGCCTTGAACTTTCCATCCTCCTGCCTCAGCCCCCTGGGTTGCTGGGATTACAAGGTGTGCACCATCCACTGTATCCAGCATCAAACTTGTTTTGCTAAAGGATCAGATAGTAAATATTTGATATAGTCTCTGACAATTAATAAATTTTTCTGTCTTATTAGGAAACAGACAATACCTGGAGGATATAGGTGTGTTGTATTCCTATAAAACTTGAAATTTTGATTTTATATAATTTTCTTTTTTTTTTTCTAAATTTATTATTATTATTATTATTTTTAGTTTTCTGCGGACACAACATCTTTGTTTGTATGTGGTGCTGAGGATTGAACCCGGGCCACACGCATGCCAGGCGAGCGCGCTACCGCTTGAGCCACCTCCCCAGCCCCAATTTTATATAATTTTCACATGCCACAAAATGATATTGTTTGTTGTTTTTCATTCAGTTAGAAAAAAATAGTAAAATCTCTTTTTAGGTCACTGTAAGCTATATCAACACAGTTGGCAGGTTAGCTCCGAATACAACTTCAAGAGCATGAGGTTCGAGATTCAGTTGCTTGGTCAAGTTTCTTATGCATGGGACAGTTAGCCAGTGCTTTTATAGAAAGGGCACCACACCTGAAATAATGACAACGAGGGCAAACGATCTCTGAGTGCACCGTGAGCCCAACCCCAGCGCTGAGCTTTGGCTGGCTTTAGAACCTCGATGTTCCAAGATCCCCGAACTTCAGGGATACAGCCATAACCTTGGCCTGATACTCCTCAGCCCGACCTTACGTGCCCATTAGCCACCAGGGGCACCAGAGTGCGCGCATGCGCAGAACCCGCACTTCGTGACCAATCACATTGTAGCGCCTGGAGCCGAGCCGACCGAGCTCGCCGCACCTGGCAGCCAATCACAGGTCGCCCTGGGCGCGCGTGTGAAGACGTCTGTGGCGTTGGCGGCGGTGGCGGCCCCTGGGGCCTGAGTAGGTGGTGTGGCTGCGGGTTTTGCCCAGGGAGCGTGTTCGGGGCTGTTTCTTGGCCGGCTTCGCGGGGACGCCACTGATCAGCGCTGGTAAGGATGGTGGAGTAGCGCGGCTCGAGCGTTCCCTGAGGGGAGACGGGAGGGAGAATCCACCACTGCAGCCCCCCCAGGTTCGGATACCGCGTCCGGTGGCCTTGCGCCGCCCAAGAGGCCTTTTCAATGCCGACGTCTTCCAAAAGGCGTGAGGGGCTGGGGACCCAGTGGGCCCCACGCCGCCTCACACATTCCATTCCTTAACTTGACTAGGCGCCTCTTTCAGTCGGTCTCCCCTTACCCCGCGGAACTCCCCCACCCTGGTGCCGGGCCCAGCGAGGCCTCCTGAGGAAGGGGCCTGTACACCCTCCTCCTGCCTTGCCTTTTCTCCCCTGCCCCGCAGTTGTCTCTTGTGGCGCCTAATTTTGGTGTTTAAAAACCATAAACCAGTTTGTAATTCCAGCCCCACCCCCATTCTGTATATCTGCAGGCCCTGAACCCTTAGAGTGTCTAAACCTTTTTAAAATTCCGTTTATTGTACTCGTTGCTATATCGCAGTGCCTCTTTATTTTTCTTGTTTGTTTACTGTGGGCCTTCTGGACACTAATGCAGCCCACTGAATCCCAGTGAGCCATTATTAATTTGGGCAGTTTACAGGTGGGGTGTTAAGATAGACAGGAGGAGTAGATTTGGGGGAAAGTAATTGAATTCTCTTTTCCGATTGGATATGAGATGGTTAATAAACATCTAAATGGCAATCTTAGGTAGGCAACAGGATATTAAATATCCTTGAAACATGCAAGTAACCCTAATCCTTCTCTCTGGTTGCCTTAAGGATGTGACCTTCTCCTTGGACGATTCAAGTTCTTAAAAAGTTTCAGTGTACATTTGAGGTAAGAGAGAAGTCTGTATCATAAGGACCAAGGTTGTTTCTTTTCTCAATTAAATTTTCCTTTTCATTCTCTCCTGTGCTAAAACTTACTGTTTAGAGTTTCTTGAGGGAATCTGAATGTATATGATAAATTCAGGCGATTGTTAATTTAAATATTCTGGAGCCCTCTAAATTGCTTTCTTAAACAAAGGAGAATGTGGTGGCTGCAGCATTCTTTCACTTCATTTCTTGAAAAAGTAAGCACCATAGAGAGTTAGAGCTATGTAAGGCTGACTTAAGTTGTGAGGCTAACATGGATTGGTACACATACCCTAAGATTTCAGCTAATGCATTAAAATGGGTCATTTAGGGAAAATTTTTTGTTAAAGTGGAGTTAACTTGTTCATTACTATACTTTTTAATTTTTTTAAAAATTGTACTGGGGATTGAATAGGGTTGTTCTATCCCTGAGCTACATTGCCCATTCTTTTTATTTTTATATTGAGTTAGGGTTTAACTCTGGCCAGGAACTTGTGATTCTCCTACCTCAACTTCCCAACTAGCTGGGATTATAGGCATGTGCCACCAAACTCACTTATACTCTTTTTCTTGAAGACTGTATTTCATTAGGTAAATTGTATGTGACTTGACAGGGGAGGTTAACAGAATTTTTTCCATGTCAGTAGGCAAGATAATAGGTAAATTCTGTGTCCGCAGATTTGTGAATACAACTCAGAACCATTGTATTAGCTAGTTATCTATTTTAACAAACCATCTCAAAACCTAGTTGCTTAAAATAACACATTTTTATTACATCATAATTTCTGAATGTTTGGAATCCGAAAGTGGCTTAGCTGGCAGCTGACAATTCTGGCTTAGGCTCTCATGAGGCTACAGTCAAACTTTTGACTAGATTGGCAGTCTCTGAAGGCTTGACTAGAATTGGATGAACTGCTTCAAATCTCTTACTTGGCAAGAGGCCTCAGTTACTCATTGGACCTGTCCATGGGGCTGCTTATGTCATACCAGTTGGCTTCCCTTAGAGTGAGTTAATTTGGGAGAGCTTGTACCTAAGATGAAGCAGTGTCTTTTTTATAACTTAATATCTGAAGAGACATATCATCATTTCTTCTTTTTTTTTTTTAGAGAATTTTTTTAATATTTATTTTTTAGTTTTCAGCGGACACAACATCTTTGTTTGTATGTGGTGCTGAGGATCGAACCTGGGCTGCACGCTTGCGCCACATCCCCAGCTCCATCATTTCTTCTTTGAGTGTTTTCTGCACAGGCCAACCTTTTACATTGTGGGAAAGGGCTGCAGAACAGTGTGAATACTAGGAGGTGGGATTCACCTGGGGCCATGAGAGAGGCTGGCTCTTGTACCTGTTTATCCACCATTCCAGTTGTTCTCCATATGGTTTCTGGCATTTTGTTACAATGGGTGAAACAAAGACTTGTGCACTTATTTATTCAGCATATTGTTCCAACAAGTCTCCTCTTTATCTTGGGTTAAGTTTTCTGTTGCTTTGGATAATTTTAGTAGCAAACATACTGATTTTTCTGTCACTTCTCCTTGGGAATCTGTTGTTTGATGCTGTGTTCCCCTTTATTTTATATTTGCTTGTCCATAAGAAAGTAAATTTTCCTTTTTAGGAAAATTTCAGGTTGTCTGTATTTTCTATTCTCCCAATCTTTTTTTGGCAGGGGGGCGGTGGTACCGCAAGGGGATTGAATTAAGGGGTGCTTGACACCAGCCATATCCCCAATGTTATTTTGTATTTTAGAGACAGGGTCTCACTGAGTTGCTTACTGACTCGCTTTTGCAGAGGCTAGCTTTGAACTGTCAGCCTTCAGAGCAGCTGGGATTACAGGCGTGTCACAGAATCTGGCCCTCCAGTTCTCTCTTTAACCCACTCTTGTGTAGGTCATCAATGAATTCCACATTGCTTAATCCAGTGGTTAGTTTTAGTTGATTTATTTGATCTACCTGCAGCATTTATCAGAGAGATTCATTTCCTCCTTCCTAAAAAATTTTTTTATTTGAATTCTGGATGCTTCACATTTTTGATTCATCTCCTATCCAGTTGGTTATTAACTGCTTCTTGATCTCCTTTGCTGTTCTTTCTTTATGACCTCTAAAAATGGAATACTTCAGGATTTGGATTTTAGACTCTTCCCCTGGGTTATGTCATCAGACTTGTGTTTTAGATAATGCTACAGATTGAAGATTCCAAAATTTGGATGTCTTCTCCATATCTCTCTGAATTCTGCTCATAGATTTGCTGGCACAACATCATCACTTATACGTCCTGTCTTTCATGTCTCATGTGCAGTCTATCAGACAAATCTGTGACCCTTCAAGATTTTATCTAGAATCTTGACTCCTTAGTATCTTTATTTCTCCATCCTGTTACTATTATTATCTTTTGTCTGTTTTATTTCAGCAGCTTCTTGTGTTCTGCTTCCACTGTTATTCTCTAAAGTCTTTTCTCCATATATCGGCCAGAACAATCCTGTTGAAATGAAAGTCACACCATTAAAAATCTCAGCAGTCTCTCATCACACTCAGTAAAAGCCAGAGAACTTAGAATGGCCCATATGATCTGAGTTCCTATAATTGTCATTGACCACAAATGCACATTTAAAAAGCCTCTTCTCTTAACTTGTCTCCCTTATCATTGGCTTGCCTGTTATCTTCTTGACCAGTTCTTAACATGTGTTAAGTATGCTCCTTCTTGGCCTTTGTGTTGTTTTCCTTTTCTAGAATACTGTTTCTCAAATACTCATAACCATGTCCTATAAATATCAACCTGCCTTCATTTCCTACTTTTTCTCACTAGCATATAGATAACCATCTTTTTTTAAAAATTATTATTTACTGATTAATTCTAACAGAAAATTAGCTCCCTGAAGAGAGGGTTTTTGTTTGGATCACTGATATATTTTTATACTAGCTCTTGACTGTTAATCAGCTCACCAAATTTTAGTTGAATGAATGATGTACTTCGATTCCTCTTAAACACCACCTTGATTCTTCCCTCCACCTTTTCTCTTTGGTCAAGAGACTTATCAAAACTACAAATGCTTTATATCATTCTTTGTATTATTTCTGTTTCTCAGTCTTTTAGACAGGAATATGTTTTAATTCTACTGATTCAATACATTTTATAATGATGTTTCACCATAAAGCAATGAACATCAAACATTACCAAACTTATGTTGTGGGAGGCCAACCTTACCGGTGACTGAGATACACTCCCCAGCTGGGTGCTGAGGCGCTCAGTCACAGAAATGGGTGTGTCTTGCTACAGCCCCATGGGTGAAGCTATGCTCACCTGTTCCTTTGTAATATAACCCCTTGCCCTGTTTAGGATAGAATCTTCCATGGAAGTGCCTTGTGTGTGTCCCCTCCTCTTACTGTGCCCTTGGGTGTGGCCTACCCAGGTGTCAGTCAACCTGCTGACAGTGGACATCATAAAGATAAACTCAGCCCCCTGAAACCTGACCCCTTGCCTCATTTAAATAGCTTCTCAATAAAAGGGGTCAGCGTGTGCTCTCTCTCTCTCTGTTTCTAGGGACCCTTAAGGTCAGAGGAGCCGTCACAGCGACCCCAAAGAAAAAGGTATTTGTGTCTCTTGTGTGGTTATTTCGTACAGCCCAGTTAGCCCAGTTTAACTAGAGTGACCCCTGAGCCTTTTAGTCGCGAGAACAGAAACCTGACATTATGTCAGTTTTTTTTTTCTCAGTACTAAAGATTGAACCCAGAGCGTTACACATGATAGGAAAGCCATCTACCACAGAGCTGCGTCTCCAGTCCCTGACTTTATGTGCTTAACCACACACAGAATCCATTATTATCTCCTTCCATAGAGTAACAATTTCTTCCTAAATTCTTTAAGAAAAAAATAAAAAAATTCCCCATCTCTCCCTCCTTTCTGTGTTTTGATCTGGGAATTCTAAAGCAGGAGTATTGCCTTAAGATCAGTTCAGTATGTCAAAAAATAATAACTTTCAACTTTTGACTTCCTAATGGTATTATGTAAGTTTGGGGGGAAAAAATATGGATACTCCCAAGAAGTCTTACTAGTTTTTTTTCCGCATGGGGGCTTCCCAGTAGTAGAGAGCTAAAAGATACATAGGGATTCATGACAGGGCCCATCTGGCATCTGTGTGGAATGTGCTTTCATGAATTTTACAATCTCCAGAATCTCTATAACTAAGTTGAATTTATTATCTAAACTGATGTACTTTTTAAAAATGAATGAAAAATGGGATTATTAAAATATGTACAAAAAAGGTTAAACCAAGATATATGGTAACCCTACTTATAACTAATTTGGTCCTCCAAGTCCTTTATAATAGGTTGTTTACTCTGCGAAATATAACTATTCCAGGTGGAATACAGATTTATGAATTGACACTACTTGATACTAGCTTAAGTATATTTGTTGGCTAGATTGGCTTGCATCATTACTATAATCTTAATTACCTGTGTTATGAATGGGGTCTTCGTGGGAGCTTTGAAAATTTACTATCAGTTGTTGGGTGGTGGGGTCACACCAGTTTATTGCTAGACATGTTCTCCTTTAATCAAGGGATAATGTCCTGTAAGATTCACTGTATAGAGGTCAGCCATCAACAGTATCTAATTCTAAAACATTTTTTCAATCTAAAAGACCATTATTAAGTAGTCACTTCTTTTATTACTTTCTTTTGTATGTTATAAGAAAATTATTAACAAAAATTTATTCTTCTTTAGTTCTGGAGACAAGAAGTCCAAAACCAGTTTCACTGCACCTTAGTCAAGATGGGTCAGGTGTGGTGGCTCATTCCTATAATCCCAGCAGTTTGGGAGGCCGAGGCAGGAGGGCTGTGAGCTTAGGCCAGCCTCAACAACATAGTGAGACCCTGTCTCAAAAAATAAAAAAGACTGGAGATATAGCTCAGTGGTAAAATGCCCCTGGTTTCAATCTTCAGTAACCTCTTCCCCTGCCACACCACCCACTCAAAGATGGATATTGGCAAGGCTGTCCTCACCTTGGACACTCTGACAGAGAAGTCATTCTTTGCCTCTTCTAGTTTGTGAACATGACGTTTTTTTGCTTGAAATGATGTTACTTCAGTTTCTGCCTCCATCCTCATATCGCCTAGTGAAATCTCTCTCTGCTTCTCTTATAAAGAAACATGGCATTTAGGGGCCACTTGTACAATCCAGATGAATTCCTTCATCTCAAGATCATTGGTCTTATCTTGAAAGACCCTTTTTGCAAATAAGGTAATATAGTTTTCTGGGATTAGAATTTGATATTTTGGGGACTGTTTTCAACCTACTGTAATCTTCATTCTTTTTTTTTTTTTTTTTTTTGCTCAGTATAGAGTAAGCACGAGTTTATTTCTCTCCGTGGGTTTGCCTGCTCTAGACATTTTATGTGAGTGGAATCATATAGTATTATGTATTTGTGTCTTGTCATCTTTGGAAATATTCATTTAGCATATTTTCAGGTTATATCCATGTTATACCTGTATCATTTGTTTTTATGGCTGAATAATATTCATTGTATGGTTATATCACAATTTGTTTATCCACTGATGAGTGTACATTTGAATTGTTTGCACTTTGTGGCTCTTATGAATAAAGCTGCTCTGAACATTTGTGTACAAAGTTTTAGTGTGAACTGAATGTTTTTGTTCTTCTAGGTATACCTAGGAATAAAATTGGTGACTCATGTGGTAACTATATTTTTTGAACAACTGCTAAATTGTTTTGCAAAGTAGTTAACCATTTTATATTGCTACCAACAACATATGATTCTTCCAGTTTGATGTTCTTTGCAATACTTGTTAGTTCCTCTTCTTGATTATAGCCAACCTAGTGAAGTAATATTTCATTGTGATTTTCATTTGCATTTTCATAATGATTAATAATGTTAAGAAATAGTTCATGATGTTTTAATTGGCTGTTTATTTGTCTTTGTTAACATATCTATTCATACCTTTGCCTGTTTTTTTTTTTTTAAAACACGGTAAAAAACACATAGAAATTTATCCTCCTAATCATTTTTAAGTGTACAATTCATTGTATTTACATTGGTGTGTAATAGATCTTTAGGACTTTTTCATCTTGCAAGACTGAAAACTATACCCATTAACAAACAGACTTCTCTTTTTCCTGTCTTCTCCAGCCCTTGCTAACCACCATCTTACTTTTTGTTTATATGAATTTGACTATTTTAATTGTCTCATATAAGTAGAATCATACAGTATTTGTGTTTTTTGACTTGCTTATTTTATTTAGCATAACATCTTCAAGATTCATCCATGTTGTAGTATGCAACCAGATTTCCTTCCTTTTTATGGTTGAGTAATATTCCACTGTACCTGTATAACACATTTTGTTCATTTGTTTGTTGATGGGCATTGGGCTTGCTTTTGCCTCTTGGCTATTGTGCATAGTCCTGCTATGTATATGTATGTGTTAATATCTCTTTAAGACCCTTCTTTCAGTTCTTTTGGATATTTGCCTAGAAGTTGGATTGCCAGATAATGTGGTAGTTCTTTTTTTAAATTTTTTAGGAGGTTGTATGTTTTCCATAAAATTGTACCATTTTATCATCCAACGATCCTGCCTGAGGAACCAGATTCTCCACTTCCTTGTTATTTTCTGATTTTTAAATTTTTATTGTTAGTAGCCATCCTAATAGATGTGAGGTGATAATTTGTATTTCTCTGATTAGTGATGTTTAATACTTTTTCATATATGCTTTGGGCATTTTTATATCATCTTTGGAGAAATATCTTTTAATTTCTTTGCCCATTTTTATTTTGGGTTTCCTTTTTCTTTTTGGTACTGGGGATTGAATGCAGGGATGCTTTATCACCGAGCTACATCCCCAGTCCTTTCTTTGTTTTTATTTTCAGATGGGTGTGCTAAGTTGCTGAGTCAGGCTTTGAACTTGCTTGCTATCCTTATGCTTCAGTATCCCCAGTCTCTGGGATTACAGGTGTGTGCCACAGTGCCCAACTGGGGTTTCTTTTTAGTCTTCCATTATCAGAGGACTTTATATATGTAAATACAAGTCTCTTATCACATATGTGAGTCACAAATGCATTTTCTATAGATTGTCTTTTTACTTTCATGGTGTTATCTTTTGAAACATAGAAGTTTAAAGTTTTAAAATTTGGTGGTCTGTCTTTTGTCAATTGTATTTTTAATGTCATGTCTAAGAACCTGTTTGATATTATTTATTTATTTAAAAGATTATGTAGTTATAGCTCTTCCATTTAGGTCTGTGATTCTTTTTTTTTTTTAAATAGTGCGAAGCAGGGGTCTGGCTTCATTCTTTTGCATGTGGCTCTTTCACCAGTTTTTTGAAAAAACTATTCTGTTCCCCCAATCAAATTGTTTTGGAATTCTAATTCAAAATCGGTGATTTTTTTTTTTTTTTTTTTTTTGTGGTGGTGCTAGGGATTGAACCCAGAGATCCTCTACCATTGAGCACCTCCCCAGCTCTTTTTATTTTATTTTATTTTTGAAACAGAGTCTTGCTAAGTTGTCAAGGCTAGTCTTGAATTTATTACCTCCTTCCTCAGCCTCTTCTCGAGTAGCTGGGATTACAGGTATGCACCACCACACCTGTCTTCAGGGACTATTTAGGTTTTATGCTGAACTCTGAATTCTATAACATTTATTTAGGTTTCTGCCCTCATGCCGTTTCCATGCTGTTGATTGCAGATATTTGTTGTGTTTAAATTTATGAAGTGTGAGTCTTCCACCTTCATCATTTTACAAGATTGTTTTGTATATTCTGGATCCCTTGCATTTCCAAATGATTTTCAGTTTCTGAGAAAAAGTGAGCTGGGATTTTCATCAATTTTGTGTTCAATTCATGAACACAGAATGTCTTTCCATTTATTTAGGTATTCTTTATTTTTCAACAATGTACTCAGAAGATTTCAGTGCTTTTTTCTATAAAAATCTTGCATTTCTTTTGCTAAATTTATCCCTATTTTATTCTTTTTGATGCTAGTTCAAATGGAATTACTTAATTTCAATTTCAGTGTTTGTTACTAGAATCCAGAAATTTATTTTTTATATTGATCTTGTGTTCTACAACCTTGATTAACCTCTTTATTAGTTTGAAAACTTGTTTTGTAGATTTAGGTCTTCCTAACCAATCTTATTGTTATGTCACTTTTTTTTTTTTCTTGATTGCCATTGAATGTAGAACCTCCAATACAATGTTGAATTGAAGTTGTGAAAGTGAATACTCTTGTCTTCTTCTTGGGAGGCTTCAGTCTTTTTGCCATTAAATGTAATGCCAGGCTTCTCCTGGGAGGCTTCAGTCTTTTTACCGTTAAATATAATGCCAGCTGTAGGAATTTTTTTTCCCCCAGAAAAAAAAAAAAATTCACCTTAGTCTGGTTGAGAAAGTTCTTTTCTGAAAAAAAATTTCACCTTAGTCTGGTTGAGAACATTCTTTTCTGTCATAATTAAATGTTTTTCTTGTTAAAAATCATGAAAAAGTGTTAGATTTTCTCAAAGTTTTTTTTTTTTCCTTTCTGCAGATAGGTGTGATTTTTTGTTCTTTATTAGTAGTTTATTTTTATTTTTCTGTTATTGTTACTGGGGATTGAACTCATGAGTGCTCCCCAATAGAGCTACATACCCAGACCTTTTTTTTTTGTTTGTTTTTTGTTTTTTAGATTTTCAACCGTCTTGCTAAGTTGTCCCAGCTGACCTCAGACTTTTGATTGGGAGGCCTTAGCTTTCCAAGTTGCTAAGATTAATGCCACTGTGCCTGGCATTTTATTCTTTTCCTTTTGTTTTTTTTGGTACTGGGAGTTGAACCCAGAATGGCTTTGCCGCTAAGCTAAATCTCCAGCCCTTTTTATTTTTTATTTTATTTTCAGGCATGGTCTTAGTAAATTGCTTAGGGCCTTGTTAAGTTGTTTAGGTTGTCCTTGAACTTTTGATCCTCCTACCTCAGCCTCCAGAATCACTGGAATTACAGACATACACCATCGTGCCTGGACATTTTCTTTTTATTATTATTAAAATGATATTTGTTTTATTTTCATAGTATGGACCATACTTGCATTCTTTAACTTATACTTGATCGTGGTGTATAATGCTTATTATATAGTGTTGGACTTTGGTAGGATTTTGTTAAGTATTTTTGCTTCTGTATTTATAAAAGGGTATATAGTCTATAGAATTTTTTTGTGGTGTGATTTCTTTTTCTCATTTAGGTATCAGAGTAGTACTGCTTCATTGAATGAAATGGAAAGCTTTTTAATTCTGGAAAAGTTTATGAGTAATTGATGTTAATCTTTTTTAAACATTTGATAGAGAATGGGGTTGTAGCTCAGAGGTGGAGTGCCTGCCAAGCTGAGCTCAGTCCCCTGCACTGGAAACAAAATATTTGGTAGAATTCACCTTTGCTATTTCATCTTGGCCTTTTATTTGGGTTTTTTTTTTTTTTTTATTACTAACTTGATCTCTTGTTTTAGGTATGTTATATTTTCTGTTTTTTTGGAGTCCATTATATAGGTTATATTGTGTAGAATTTATCTATTTGTTGGCATAGAATTATTCAAAGTATTCCTTTATGATTATTTTAATATGGTTGCTAATAGTATACTATTTTTAAATAGTATTTTTTAAAATAATTCATTGAAGTGATAGCCACAGAATAATTTTACCTTGAAAAATTTAGTGGCATTTAGAGTATTTATGATGTGGAACATCTGCTGTCTCTATTTCTAGCACAGTTCTTTCATTCCAAACTAAAATCACTCATTCATTAAGCAATTTCTTCTCATTTCCCCTCTATTCCCTGGTAGTCACCAATTTCTGTTTAGTCTTCATGGATTTATCTAGTCTGGACATTTCCTATAAATGAGATCAGATGTAACCTTGGTGTCTAACTTTTTTCACTTCGAATGTTTTTATGGTTTATTCAGTTTAATAACATGTATTAGTATTTTGTTTCCTTTATGGCCAAATAATTTTCTGTTGTGTGCTGTATGTCATTTGCTTATGCATTCATCCATTAATGGATATTTGCATTGTTTTCACCTATTGGTTCTTATGAATAGCTGCTTTACATATGAGTTTACATACACTTATCTGAATACATGTTTTCTGTTCTTTTGTATATGTAGCTTGCTTACATGGTCATATGATAATTCTGTGTTTGTAACATTTTTAAAATTTTTTTTCTTTCTTTTCCTCTTCTTCCTTTGTTTTTTCTCGCCTCGCCCCCCCATTTTTTTTTTTTTTTTCAATTCTTCAGCTTTCTGAAGAAATGAAACACCAACTTTTGGAGGAAACATTTTCCACATTTCCGGAGTCCTCTGATTTTTGCAAGCTTTTTCTTTTCTTTTTTTTTTTTTTAATATTTAGTTTTTAGTTGTAATTGGACCCAGTGCCTTTATTTTATACGTGATGCTGAAGATCGAACCCAGAGCCTCGCACGTGCTAGGTGAGCACTCTACTGTTGAGCCACAATGCAGCCCCTTTGCAAGCCTTTTCTTTGTTTCCAGGAACTGTCCAGGATCTGAAAAACTTGATTTTGATAAAGGAGCAACTACTTGTAGATCCTTATTCTGCCATTTCTACTGACCTCATCCTATTGCTGTGCATTGAGCAAATAGACCTTGTCTTTTTTTTTTTAGTTCACTTTTTTTTTGTTGTTGTTGTTCATCAACATTTATGTAAGTATTCTCACCTGATAATTCCAGACCCTTTCCAAATACTCAGTTTAATAAAAAAAAAAAAAAAAAAAAAAAAAACTTACCTTTGAACTAACAGGTCACTTTTTAGGTTGAATTGCCAACCTTCTCATTATCTTCTTTTGTAGTTTCTTCTGACCAGGGTTCTGTTCTCGGAAGGAGAAAGTCTAATTCGCTCCACTGCTTCAGAGGAGATCCCATGAAGGACTCTGTAAGAATACTGTTCTGGGAGAAGGCTTCCTGAAACTATTAATTTCATGACGAGATGTGGCTATAGGCATTCTTCTAAATCCCCAGATTACAGAGCTCATATTTCTTGTCACAGTGCGTGTCTGTGGTGCCCTGACTTGAAGAAAATTAACTGCCTTCCAATTTTGAACATTTCTTATTCTTTCCCTCAGTCCATCTTTCTTGGCTGAGTTTTTTTTTCTAACTTCTAGATAATCTTTTCTTTAATGAATGTTTGAATACTTATTACATGCCAGATACTACTCTAGGTATTGGAGAGAGATTTGTGAACAAAAACAGGCCAAAACCGGAAAAAAAATCCCAAACCAGAAACTACTGCAACAGAAAACTGATAATTCAGTGGTGAATGAAAGATAGTAAAATGCATAAATTCTCTGGTGAGAAGGTGATATTATGGGATTAGGAGAAAAATAGTTGAGTAGGATTACAGGACTGGAAGTAGAAGGAGGAAGTTAATTGTATTGTAATTTTAGGTAGGGTGGTCAGGTAAGTCTTAATGGAGAAGGTAAATTTGAACATGGACTTGAAGGAGATAGAATGTCTATCCATTCAAGCCATGGGGCAAGAGTGTCTGAAGGAGCAGTAAGGAAACTACTGTGATTGGATTGGAGTGGATTAAAGGCAGAAGAATGGAAGAGGTAGCAAGAATAGCAATAGTGGCATGGACCTATGAATTTTTAATTTTTCTCTCTAGTCCAGTGTATAAAAATTGTCTTATCCTTTAACAAGGAGCAACCTTGGTTTAATAGTTACACACTTCATAGTTTCCAGGCTAGTATTGACCCTGTTTTATACAACTTTAGCTTATTTATGTAAAGTATTTATTATAAATATTTATGAAAACTTATTTTTATTATTTTTGGGGCTGTTGGGAATCAAAACTAGGGCCTTGTTAGCTCTACCACTGGGCAGGCTACATCCCCAACCTGAAAAAAATTTTTTTTTTTTTTTTATTTAGTTCTTCTAGGATGAAATGTAAATATTTCATGCAGTCTTTAAGAATCTGATGAAGCACTCAGTTTCCTCCATGGGTTTGTGTTTGATGGGTATTATATTCTAAGGCAGCAAATATGTGAAGTTATTGGGTGTTAGGGACAAGAGTGTTGTGGATTTATGTAGAGAGAATTTGAGGAGGAGTTTAGAGGAACAGTGATGGTTGAAGAGAGTGATAGGCAAGGAAAGATAGTAGGGCAGGTGCTAGAGGAGTCCTAATGACCTAAGATCTAATCTCAGAAATTACTCAAGAAGGACTGTTAGGCCAAAATCCCACTAGAAAAGACCATTGTTTGGATGCACAAAAATAACCTTGAGGGTGGATCGTTATCCGCTGACCCTTAGCTGTCTGAAAGAAACTTTCCTTTATTCCTATTATGGCCTTTAATGACTTTGTTGGTGGAGATGGGAGTTGATTTTTGAGACAGACCCTCAGGTCTAGTAGTTCTTGGCTTGTCCAACCTCCTACCCTATTATGTCAAGATTCTGGTCAATTTGAAAATAAGGGTTTATACATTCATCCATTTTGGGGTATTTGTGAAGAAGGGGCTCTAGATACCTAGAGGAGAAGAAATAATGAGTTTTCTAAGAATAGCATCGTCTGATACTGTTCTTGTTGTGCACTCAGTCATATACTTAACTAGCTTTATTCCTGATTTTTGTTCTACTTTTCATTTTTCATCTTTGGGTTGACAGTATGGACAATAGCCAAAAACCTAACTGGGATCAGCTGAGTGAAAGTCAGTATTATTGGAATCCAGTTTAATTTCTTTCTTTTTTTTTTAATATTTATTTTTTAGTTTTCGGTGGACACGATATCTTTATTTTATTTTTATGTGGTACTGAGTATCGAACCCAGCACTCCGAGCATGCCAGGCGAGCACGCTACTGCTTGAGCCACATCCCCAGCCCCAGTTTAATTTATTTTTATTTTTAAATTTTTTTTAGAGAGAGAGAGAATTTTAAATATTTATTTTTTAGTTTTTCGGCGGACACAACATCTTTGTTTGTATGTGGTGCTGAGGATCGAACCCGGGCCGTACGCATGCCAGGCGAGCGCGCTACCGCTTGAGTCATATCCCCAGCCCTTAATTTCTTTTTAAACAACAGGAATTTATTTTTCAGTTTTGGAGGCTGAGGCATCTTAGAGCAAGTGCTCTTCCTGGCTGGTAGATAACTGACTTCTTCTTATATAGGTGGGGATGGGGAATAGGGGAAACAAAACTATGGTGTCACTTCTCATAAAGGCATTAATTCCATTATGGGGATCCCACCCTCATGACCTCATCTAAACCTAATTACCTTGAAAAGGCAATATCTTCAAGAGCCATCATCTTGGAGGTTATGGTTTCAACCTAAAAATTCTGAGGGACACAATTTAATCCATAGCATAATCTAAAATATAGTCTCTAGAATTGAAAGACTCATTTAACAATTAGGAGGAGAGAAACAGTATAATTACATTGATGTTTAAGATCCATCCAGTGGTGGCAAGTATATATAATTTGAAGTACAAAGAGAAGATGATGGTAAGGCATACCATCTCATGGTAGAAGTTTGTGAGGTCTGAAACAGGTGTACAAATATGTAGTAATCTGTGGATCCTAAACTTAGAAGTCAGGCTAGAGCATGGATGGAGACATTAATAAGTATGGAAATAATGTGGTTATAGTGAGCAATGATCTAATCACTTATAAGATATTATTACTAATTTGATGGAGATGGGGAAGGTTTGAACAGGTGTTTTATTATTATTATTTTTCAGTGAAAAAGTGAATCCAGTGAAACACTTTTTAATGAATTTTGAGGATGTAAGTAATATTACCATCAGAAATAGGCATGCTTTAAATCATTTCTTTTGGAGAGAACACAGAACTAGAATTCAGGAATCATGCATTTAGGGCTCTCTGCATATCCTCCATATAACATAAGTTTTTTTGGCTTTAAATTCCATCTTCAGATAATCTGATAAAAATATTAGTTGTCAAATTATTAGAATATTAATAATTTTGACTTGAAGGTTTTTTTGTTGTTTTGTTTGTGGATGTTAAGGCATAACATCTCATGGTAGAAGTCAATTCTAGAAACGTAGAAGTGACACGAGAAAAAGACTGGATTTGGGTAGGAGTTCTCTCCCAGGACATTTAGTAATGTCTAGGGCCAGTTTTGATTGCCACACTGGGGAATTAGTACCGATATCTAGTGGGTAGAGGCCAAAAATGCTGCCAACATCTTGCTATGCACCCAGAATTCCTCTATATAAAGAATTATCTGGTCCAAAATCTTAAGTGCATAGGTTGAAAAACTCTGGGCTAAGTGGCACCATCCTGGAGTTAGGTAATTGAAAGTAGTATAGACAAACCTATTTTAGCTGATTCCAAAGAGCAGTGTTCAAATCTGCCATATATATATGTGACATTATATATAGACTTAATTTTTCAGGTTGTAAATTATACTATTCATGACACACCGGATAATAAGCTTCATGCATTCACCACTGTCTGCCACAGTATCTTACCAGTGTTGGGCAAATAAATTAAAGTAAGTGGAATAAGTGAGGGAAAAAAAAATGAATAATTTTTGTTATGCTTAATTGTATTCTTTAGTTGACTTGCAAGGTGATGTATGTGTTTATAGGAATAGATAATATATGTTCCAAAGTTAGGTACTGGTATTCTCATTAAAATTAACGTATCATGTGTCTCATATTTTAGATGCCAGTTTAATTTTTATAGATTGGGTTATGCTGATTTGAAGAGGCCACAATGCATCTTGAAATGTTTTCAGAATCAGTGAGCTATGCAGTAGTAGATCACTTGCCTAGAATATGCAAGGCCTGGCTTCAATTCTAGTACTGCAAAATAACAACAACACCGAGTCTTAAAGTCCAGTGAGCTGCGAACCATGCCTATGTTTTGCTTGCTTTAGATCAATGTTTTTCAGACCACTTAGTTGTGACCCATTGATGAATCTTAATTGATTTTGTGAGTCATGATCTATAAAAGAAAAATGAAATAGAAGATATTTAAGTATATCTCAGGTAATATAGAGACAGTTATTATTTATATATGTCAGTATATAGTGGGACTCCATATAATTTTTTTTTAAGAGAGATAATTTTTTAATATTTATTTTTTTTTTAGTTTTTGGCAGACACAACATCTTTGTATGTGGTGCTGAGGATCGAACCCGGGCCACACGCATGCCAGGCGAGTGCGCTATTGCTTGAGCCACATCCCCAGCCCTGACTCCATATAATTTTACTTTTTTATTTTTTTTTAAACTTGGTTTTGATTTTAAAAAAATCTATATCTATTTGAAAAAGCTAGCTGCTTTCAGTTGTTTATTAGCCTACAGAATTTCTGAATTGAAGTTTCTCAGTAAATTCTTAGAAAATGTGGAATTATTGGAGCACAGTCTTTTTATAAGAGATTTTTTTATATCAATTTTAAGATCTTATAAATAGAAGATCTTATGAGAGTTACTATTTGTTGGTTCATTTAACAAACCAAGCATTTGTGCTGGGTATTCCACAGTCAACAAAAGATCCAGTCTCTATCCTTTGTGGTTTTGCTACTGGGCAAAAAGAAGGAATCAAGATAAAGAAGTTAAGTTTGTATTATGTTAAGTGAAGGTAGGACTTGATGGTGAAAGAGAAGGGAAGTGAGCCAGGTGCTGTGGTTCACAGTTGTAATCCCAGTGACTTGGGAGGCTGAGGCCAGCTTCAGTGATTTAATGAGAACCTATCTCAAAAGGCAAATAAAAAAGGACTGGGGGTGTAGCTCAGTGGTAGAATGTCCCTGAGTTCAATCCCAGTAAAAGAGGGGAGTGGAGGAGGGAAGTAATTTGAGTATGAGTTAAGAGGTTATAGTTTGAAATATTTGAAACCTCTCTGAGAATGGTGCTTGGAACAGAGAGCCCTGAAGTTGATGAGTAGCCATCCGTGCCGGTATCTTGATGAATGAACATCATATTAGAAATACAAATGTTGTAAGCAAGGTTTAGTGTGTTCATGAGGTAGTGAGGAAATTAGTATGGTAGAGTGCAGTGGGTGAGGGAAAAGGAGTATGAAAATATATCTGGGGTTGGAAGCATGATCTTCTAGACATTGGAAGTACTTGACCTTTTAACTCTTTGTGGATCAGAAAGCCCTTGGAAGGTTTTGAGCTGAGCAGTGATGAAAAAAATTTCATGTGGTTTAACAGAATCATTCTTCCTTCCATATGGAAAACAAACTGAGGTGGATTTGAAGGAGCAGTGTTGTACTTAAGTTCAGTGGGGAAGTCAGAACTGGAGAGAGAAATTTAGTAGATATCAGTGAATGGATTAGGCCATTAACTGAGATGAGATTATCAAGAGAATTTATTCCTGATTTGCCTGTCTGACACATGCTAAGTATTGACATTACATTATGTTATTTGTTGGCTATGTGTAGATACTCTTACTCTCTAAATTTGATACCTCTTGTCTATATAATGATTTAGGAATTAGTCTAGATGAATCAATTGATATATATTTAATATGTTTTCCTTTAATTCTACTGTGAAACAAACTATCTTGGAATAGTTGGTGCTTTTAAAAATAGCTATTATCTTAAGTCTAAGGAATAAAAATTTTTGTATTCAAGATACTGAAAAAACACTTGTGAAAGTAAAAATACATTTTATTATATTATTTTTATTAGTTATTGATGGACATTTATTTATTTATTTGTTTAAATGTGGTGCTGAGAATCAAACCCAGTGCCTCACACATGCAAGGCAGTTGCTCTACCACTGAGCCACTACCCCAGCCCCTATTTTATTATATTATTTTTAATGATTTTGATTGGAAGAGGTTACTGTTAGCGTGGGGCAAAGCTATGAAACTGTGATACTCTAGACTTTATCGTACATCAGTTTTAAGTTGCCATTTTTCTTCCTTGAGTGTCAGTGTTCTTGTCTGTAAAATGAGGATGGCTAATAACTACCTCAGAATTTTAGAGAATTAAATAATGCATTTTTCTGAACTTACTGTGTTTGTACTTAGGTGGCTGTTTATACAAAGGAAGCACTGGGACTTGGGGCTACCTTCAAGAATAAAAAAAATAGAAAATGGAACAACCATGTGTGTTATGTGAGGAAGAACAGGATCCAGAACCACAGAACATAAAAGAAACCAAACAAATAGATGATGAAGATGCGGAGCTGATCTTTGTTGGGGTGGAACATGTAAATGAAGATGCTGAACTGATCTTTGTTGGGGTGTCTTCAAATTCAAAACCAGTTGTTTCAAATATTTTGAACAGAGTTACCCCAGGTTCATGTTCATGGAGAAAAAAGTATGGTCGCCGAAGAAAAGATACTGCTCGTAGATTGCAGCCTATAAGTCATGTGACCCCTTCATCAGAAACAGTGACTATGTTGCCAGTATCTCAATCTGAATCAAGATCAACAGATAGTCCTATTATTATTGAGCCTTTGTCTAAGCCTGATGATAAAAGTAATTCACCAAAAGTTGTGCCTAGTAGCTCTTCAGAATCATGTTCTCCTGTGGTTACCCTCACAAGTTCATTGCATCATCCAGTGAAAGCAGCACTTTCCGAAGGAGGTATGAATGAAAGTACTTGTATATCAAAGCGGTGTTCCAATTCTGAAGTAATTAGCATAAATCCCAAAAATCCTAAACTCAGTGATGGAATCACAGGAGGATATTCTTTAACTTTGTCCCCTCCAGGTGTTTTTAATAATAATAATCCTCAGCAGAGTACACCCAATGATGTCCATACCTCAGTAAGCCATGTTCAGAATGTATTATCTTTTCCCACAGCTTTTCCAAAGGACAGTCTCCATTTAAAGCCTATAACTATAAATCCTGATAGGGAAAATGGGTTGGCAAAAACAGAATTTTCAGATCTAGCAAGTCAAAATAAGACCTTTGATCCCAAGAAAGGGAATTTGATTCTATTACTTAGTGACTTTTACTATGGACAACATCAAGGAGATGGGCAGCCAGAACAGAAAACTCACACAACCTTTAAATGCCCCAGCTGCTTGAAAGTTCTAAAAAATGTTAAGTTTATGAATCATATGAAGCACCATTTGGAACTTGAGAAGCAGAGGGGTGACAGCTGGGAAACCCACACTACCTGCCAGCATTGCCACCGGCAGTTTCCCACTCCCTTCCAACTACAACGTCACATCGAAAGTGTACACACTCCACAGGAGCCCTCTGCTGTCTGTAAAATTTGTGAGTTGTCATTTAAAACAGATCAGATTCTTTTAGAACACATGAAGGACAATCATAAGCCTGGGGAAATGCCCTATGTGTGCCAGATTTGCAGTTACAGATCATCAGCCTTTGCTGATGTGGAAACACATTTTAGAACATACCATGAAAACACTAAGAATCTACTTTGTCCTTTTTGTCTCAAAATTTTCAAAACTGCAACGCCATATATGTGTCATTATAGGAGGCACTGGGAAAGGGGTGTTCACCAGTGTTCTAAATGTCGGCTACAGTTTTTAACTTTCAAGGAGAAAATGGAGCACAAGACCCAATGTCATCAAATGTTTAAGAAGCCTAAGCAACTAGAAGGATTGCCTCCTGAAACAAAAATTGTTATTCAAGTGTCACTGGAACCTGGTCAACCAGAATCAGTGAATGTAGCGTCTATTATTCTGAGTACAACTGATTCTGAACCATCTCCTCCCAAATCTAAAAATAGAATTTCCAAAAAACCTCATTGATTCTATTTTGGGAAACCAAAAGCAAATATTTCAGTTTAAATAGAAGAAAAAAACCCCATGAAAACAAAAAATATAAACCATACATTATTCAGTAGCACCAAAAATAGTGAAACTAATGAATTGAGATTTAAGTTCATGCATAGGGTTTTAAAATTTTTTTCTTTCGTTCTTTTTGTGGTGATGGGGATGAACCAGGACCTAGTACATGCTGAGCAATTGCTCTACCACTGAGCCATGCACCACATTCCCACTCCCTGAATTTTGAGCTGTTATATAATATATTACCTGGTTTTTATGTTAACTATCTGGTTCAACACATGAAAGGTGCTTGTATATGATGTTTGAGTGGGGAAAAAAAAAGTGGAAGCCTATTTATTTTGTCAGTATTTTATGTAACTCCTAAGCTGGAGAGATCTTTCTTCTATATACAGAATTTGTAGAGGTTTTGAAGTATTTAATTTTATTTTTAAACTTTTTCTGTATATTACTTACACATTTCACTGTTAACTCTAATCAGACTGGAATGACTTTGTTATGGCTTGGTCCCTTTATTCATGAACTCTTAGAAGTGCCTGTACAGTGTGAGTGTAAAATAACCTGGTTTTGAAAGCCTTAGTGTGATGTTGAAGGAGAAGCTGTAGCATGGATGGAGGTGAAGACTTAGGTATAGGTTAGGCAAAAGAAAGTATTTGACCCCTTATCCCAGTTGAGGGATAGGCACATTCTAGTCTTGGAGCCAAGACAGAAGGAACACAGCCTGAGAATGTCTTTGCCTAATAGAAGAACATCCAAGGAAGCAAAATCATTCTTGAAAAATGTCTGCATTTGGTGAAGGACTCCTGCATATATTAAACAGCTGCTCAGTATCTTTAGCTTCATATGAAGCCACAACAGTAATTAGAATGGGAACTGGCCCCAGTTAATTTCCTGTTGAGTGATCCAAAGGAGAATTTTTCATTCTGGCTAGAGGTTAGTGAAGAATGAATTCTCCTTGTCCTAATAAGCCACAGCAATAAAGCATGTTACAATTCCCGAGGAAAAGAAGCACTGGTATCTGAAGTTTGAACTGTACTGGACCCATAGTTTCTGCTGAAAGGGGCCATACAAATGATGACTGTCCAGTTAATGGGCTGAGCTAAATTTAGTTCTTCCACTGTTAAGCTGGAATGGGGCTTGTCCAAGAACACTAGGTACAGTGCACCAAAATAGCCCAGGGTGACTGATTAAAATTAAACCCATATGGGACCTTATATTTTTCAGCACATGTGTAGCTTACCATAATTGAGTATATTAAGCTTGCAGTTTTGTGTCTTGTCTTGGAAGTGAGTATATTACAGTTAGTAGGGTTTTTTTTGTGTGTGTGTATTTATAATTTCCTAACTGATTACACTAATGAATCTCTTTTTTATCATTTTTAAATTTGTTCTAGTTAGTTAAAATGGCCCAAATGTATTGTCTGTCCTTATCTGATAGATCCTCCTATTTAATCTCTAACTATACTAGGGAGGAACTTTTTCCATTTGCCCTCCCCAAAGGCTGTTTCATAAAACTGTGAAGTACTTTCTGAGCATTGGTTCCTAAACATCAGCAGCCTGAGCTGCTGTGAGTTCCCAGGGTTGTCTGTCTCCCAGGGCTTGTTCTAGGGTCATCTCTCTCTTATTCACTACCCTCATCGCATGTACCCAGCAGCCTCTGTTCATCAATCAAGGAATCTACTAGCATCCTGGCTGTAGACATAGGTCTGGAAAAGTCTTTTTCATTCCTCCCCTACTCCTTTAGTCTCTCCTCAATCTAATTAAATGTTCTAACTTTCACAGAAAGCTGGGAAGAGGTAATCTTCAGGTCATAGTATTAGAATTGGGGGGAAAAGGACTAAAAATAATTAAAAGAGGTTGTTAGTAGATTTTGTTGTGTTTAATTGCTCCATGCTTGCTTATTTGATTAATTCATTCACACCTTGAACGGTTTGCTAGGTCTTTTCAGTTAGTTTGCTTGGGCCAAGGCATGTTACGAAAATTTTACCCTGAACCCTTTCTTTAGATATAAGAAAATATGTGTGTATGTGTATGTGTATGACTGTCCCACTTGTTCTGGTGGAAATTCTTACTGTTTAAATCTGCAGACTTTTGTGTATTGTGTTTCTATGGTAAAAGTAAAAAATGTTTTAGTTGTAAATTTTAGTGATTGCTTACTGTTAGTGGCACTGTGAACTGTTGTTTGCTGTTTCACTAAAGCATGCTCCTAAGGAGTACAAATTGTCAGTTATTGCCAACTTCAGGTTCCAGTGGTGTGGCCCCTGCCTACCTCCTCCCTCTTTCGTTCTGTGATACAGCTCTACCATTTCCCTAATTGATATGCTATTTTGATATAATGGCCTTGTTATTCCTTAAGCAAATCATATTTTTTCCTGATTTACAGGCTGCACATGCTATTCTCTTAGAACACTTTCCCCTAGGCCTGCATGGCTTGCTACCTCACTGAACTGTTCAACACTTCCTTTGGTTCTTAGAACAACTAGAAATTTCCCCCACATTTTTTTTAACCTTATTCTTTCTCCTTAAAGGCACTTTACCTCCCTCCCCCCACTTCTTTCTTCCCTTTCTAATACAGTTAAATTTCCTAGATTTTCACAAAAAAGCTGGGAAGGAATCATTAAGGGCTTTGCTTCTCTTTTAGAGTTGAGCTAGCTTGAGTCAATTTCTGTGCCTGCAACCAAAAGAAAGTTAATATAGTGAATTGAGTCAAAGGGAGCTTTCTTTGTTTTTCTATTGATAGCTTTATATTTTTTAAGGCAATGTCACTTTGTTTTGTTTACAAATATATTTAATATCTGTCCAGATTACTATTTTATTATTATTCTTGTATGAATTTCCTTGTCTATTTTGCTTGCTTGTTCTTGCAGATGGAATTTATTATTTTATTAGTGTTGCCAAATATTGTAAGTAAAATAGCAATTATAATAATAAAATGATTTGTGAAAGAATGTTTTTTGCTATATTGTCTTTTCACCAATAACATGTTTTTAGCTTTGTTTGATTTTTATTTGGTACTTCCTGCCAGTTGTGGTGTTGTCATATTTCTTGAGTCAGCACTTCTAAATAATGTGTATGATGGAGTTAATGGGTTTCTTGATCTTGGTTTTAATGAAAAATTTTATACTATTAAAAGTAATGAGTATATTTTAAAATCTTGTTTTCATTTTTAGACTCTTTAAAGACTTGTTTTATTGGGTAGTTTTCAACATCTATCAAGACAGTCATTTACTTTCTCAACTTCCCTTATAGAAAACATTTTGTTTTTAAAGCAGAAGTAGCCTACTTGGTAGAGTATTATTTCTATTACTTACAGCCCTATTTCTATTTTCATTTATATTAAATTAAGTACATTTCCTCTTCCTCTCAGATTGTCACAGTTTTTTGTTTTTATTTTTTTCCTGGTACTAGTGATTGAACGCAGGGGCTCTTAACCTCTGAGCCATATCCAGCCATTTTTATTTTGAGACAGGGTCTCACTAAGTTGCTCAGAACCTTGCTAAGTTGCTGAGGCTGGCTTTAAATTTATGATCCTTATTTGTCAGCCTCCCGAGATGCTGGGGTTACAGGTGTGCCACCACTATGCCCAGCTTGTAGTTTTATCAGTGTTTCTTATTTACTTTTTCCCAAGAAGCAACCTTCAATTTGCCTTACTATCCCAACTAGTTTTATTTTTGTTATTCTCCAGTTTTGTCCTTATTATTTATATCCTTTCTGCTTACTTTTGGATTATTCTTTTTTTTTAATATTTATTTTTTAGTTTTAGGTGGACACAATATTTTATTTTTATGTGGTGCTGAGAATTGAACCCACTGCCTCATGCATGCTAGGCGAGTGTGCTACCACTTGAGCCACATCTCTAGCCCCTGGATTGTTGTTTTCTATGACATTATTTTAAAACTTTTATTTTTACTTAAATAAGGAAAGAATTTAAGACTTCTTTCTCTGTTTATGGTTTTTCCTAAATCTCAAATATTTTGATGCATATTTAAAGATTTTCATTCTTAATATATTTGGTGGGTAAGTTAATTAAAAATTTTCAAAATTTGCAGATAAGCAGTTTTATTCATTTTTATTTTAATTTTTGTGGTGCTAGGAATGACCTAGGGCCTGTGCTTGCTGAATAAGCAGTCTACCACAGAGCTACATAAGTGGTTTAATTTTTATTTTTACCAATAATTCAATTTTTCTTGGAGTGTTGGGGTATGTGTGTGTTTATGTGTACACACTGGCGTGCATACTTATTACCATTGTTTTCAAATTACATAGATTATTAAATATTTTTTATTTCTTTGGTAAAATTAGTTTTATTATAGAAACCTTTTCCCCCAAGTGATATTGCTAAATTTTATTGTTATATTGTGTACATAAATGAATATATAACAACAAATCCCATTAATATGTACAACTATAATGCACCAATTTTAAAAATGTGGAAAAAGAAAAACGAAAGCCTTTTTCCCCAAATGAATGCGTATAAGAGGTAAAAATATGAAAATATTCATTTGAGACTAAATCCAAGTTATAGAACTTAAAAACCAAGCCAAAGATCAAAGTAAGTTAAATATATACTCACCATAAACAGTATTACTCAGTTATCAAAAGTAATGGCAGTAGGAGTTGTGGCAACACAAAATTTTTACTAGAGAATGAGAAAGCAACGTTATAAATTTATGTGTATATTTTATAATTAAATTTATGTTATAAATTTATATGTATATTTTAGAATTTATGTGTATACTTTAGAATGGCAAAGTATCTATTGTACTCTTATAATATCTCTGAAAAAGGATGATAAATACTAAATGCAATTGAGTTATTTAATCTGATAGTGATTATTTCTTTGGTCTTCCAGATGTTATATAATTTAGTTCTTTTGCTTTAGAAAAAACAAAAAAACATTTAATTAGAGTGGATTTTATTTCAGTGGGTAGCCCTGTTAGACTCTTTTCTTTCTGCTTATAGGATTGAAATGAACATTTGCCAGTGTTGATAGGATTGCTACCAAGACACAGAGACTCTTAGGGTAAGTATTAGCAAAGTATGGCCTTTTAGAATATAGATTTTTTAAAGCATTGTTAGGACACTGGGTGGAAAATGAGAGCGCTAGAGAAACCATATGCACCCTGCAAAGCCTAAAATAATTACTACTTGCTGTTTTACAGGGAGAAGTTTGTTGACCTCTGCTCTAGATTATGAGTTAAAATTTATCCTTTATTCCTGCAAGCAGGCTAGTACATTAGAAGGGCTTTTGGTATCAGTGTGATAGGGCTATAATTCTTTGATTATATCAATTATATATAGTGATAAGTAGTCCAAAGCAGTGGAAAGAGACTGATGTCCAGAAAATGACAAAATGTCTTAGGGACATGTGAGAGAGAGCAAGTGTAGCAGGAACACACTTACACATGCCTATGTGGTCACATATATCAAAGCCTTGATACAATTTATTTCCTTTCTTCCTTCCTTTTTTTGAGACAAGGTCTTGCTATGTTGCCTGCGCTGATGTTGAACTCCTGTGTTCCAGTAATCCTCTTGCTTCTGTCTCCCAAGTTGGTGAGATAAAGTGTGTGCCACCTCTCCCAGTTCTATTTTTCCATATCTTTTTGATGAGTAATATTGTGTGCTACTTGAAAACATCAGGAAAGGAAACATACTGTCTGTTCAGGTTTGATTTCAAGATGGCTATTGACAGGTGATTCTAGTTTCTTCCTGGATGTTAGTAGAAGGTCTTAATTCCTCCATGAGGGCCTCTCTACTGGGTTTACCTGAGTGTTCTTAAAATATTGTTAGTTGGCTTCTAGAGTAAGTGATTTAAGAGAGGGAGCAAAGAGGCTACAAAGTTTTTTTATGACCTAGCTTCAGAAACAACACTGTCACTTCTAGAGTATTCTATTCATTAAAAGTGAATCACTAGGGCTGGGGTTTTGGCTCACCTAGCATGTGTGAGGCACTGCGATCGATCCTCAGCACCACATAAAAGTAAAATAAAGGTTATTGTGCCCACCTACAACTTAAAAAAAATATTTTAAAAAAGTGAAGCACTAAGTCAGGTAAGGCAGGTAATTAAGTTCTGCTTTTGAAGGGAAAAGTATTAAAAGAATTTGTGTACATAATTTAGAGCCATCAAGGGTAAATCCTCTGGTCCTAGATTATATATCTCCTATGTGCAAAATATACTCACTTTCTAAGACCTCTAAAAGTTTTATCCACTATAGCGTTAACTTGAAGTCCAGAATCTCATTATCAAAATCAGGTGTGGATGTGGATCTGGCTTTCTGGGTAGTATTCCTTTTGTGCAGTACCTCAAGTACAATTTGAGGTTCTGTGAACTGAAGAGACAAAAAGAGAGTCACATAAGAGTTACCAGTGCCTGAGGCTGGGGTTGTGGCTCAGCGATAGAGCACTTGCCTAGCATGTGCGAGGTTCTAGGTTTGATCCTCAGCACCACATAAAAATAAATAAATAAATAAAATATAGGTATTGTGTCCAACTACAACTAAAAATATATTTAAAAAAGAGTTACCAGTCTGTAGCAATTCTGGAATCTTGACAAGGCACATGTTAGAAGGTCATTAAAAAACATTTAGTGCCTGAAAATTCTCTTAGCTCTTGGCTTAGACCTCTCAATTCTTTGTTCTACAAGTGCTAGTTTTTTTTTTAAATTAATTTTTTTTATTGGTTGTTCAAAACATTACAAAGCTCTTGACATATCATATTTCATACATTAGATTCAAGTGGGTTATGAACTCCCATTTTTACCCCAAATACAGATTGCAGAATCACATCGGTTACACATCCACATTTTTACATAATGCCATATTAGTAACTGTTGTATTCTGCTACCTTTCCTATCCTCTACTATCCCCCCTCCCCTCCCATCTTCTCTCTCTACCCCATCTACTGTAATTAATTTCTCTCCTTGTTTATTTTCCCATTCCCCTCACAACCTCTTATATGTAATTTTGTATAACAATGAGGGTCTCCTTCCATTTCCATGCAATTTCCCTTTTCTCTCCCTTTCCCTCCCACCTCATGTCTCTGTTTAATGTTAATCTTTTCCTCCTGCTCTTCTTCCCTGCTCTGTTCTTAGTTGCTCTCATTATATCAAAGAAGACATTTGGCATTTGTTTTTTAGGGATTGGCTAGCTTCACTTAGCATAATCTGCTCTAGTGCCATCCATTTCCCTACAAATTCCATGATTTTGTCATTTTTTAGTGCTGCGTAATACTCCATGGTGTATAAATGCCACATTTTTTTAATCCATTCATCTATTGAAGGGCATCTGGGTTGGTTCCACAAGTGCTAGTTTTTTTAATGAACGGTTGCACATGTTATAGCTGAATAGTTTTCCCAGCCTGTTTCCTGCTCATAAAAGGAGGTTAAGGTTCAAACACCTTTTTCATTTTGTATTGTCTGATTTTTTCAGTATAAATTGGTGACATTTCACTAAATATATTCTCTCTCAACAGTACCATCTTTTTTTTTTTAATAGATGGATGGATGAAAGTTTGAGCCCAAGATAGTTATTTTTTTAAAAATGAAGATTTTAGATTAGATTAAATGATTGTTAATATTTCTCAAATATTTTGTGGTAAAAAAAGATAGGTACTCCTTGGGTGATATAAGACAAACTGGAAAGCAAAAGAAAATGAAACAAAAAGCAAAACATTTATGCAGTACTTGATGGTTTTAAATATTCGTTTCTTTCCTTTTTTCTTAAAATATTTTTATATTGTTGCTTAATATTTATTATTTAAATATGTATTCATTTTGAAGCCCACGTGAAGGGCCAGAAACTACTCTGTGGACAAGGTTTTACTTAGTATTAGAAATAGCAAAAGAGGGCAAACCAAAGGGTGCCAGAATGTTTCAGGCTTCAGCTTCAGGCCCTCTTAATATCCCATTATCCAAACATGGTCAAGCACAAAGTAAAGTGGGATGGTGAATATATTCCTATAGGAGGAACTACAAAGTTATATGGATACAGGTAGTTATGTTTGGAGCTGATAATTCAATCTAGAGAACCAGTTATTATGCTATGCCATACTCAGGATATATAGTCATGTCTTAATAGGAAAATAGGCAATTAAAATACATGGATAGGGCTGAGGATGTAGATCTGTTGTAGAGCTTTTGCCTAGCATGTGTGAGCCACTGTGTTCAAACCTCAGAACTAAAAACAAAACAACAAAACCCCTCAAACAACCCTACTGTGATAGCTACTAAGTTGGTTGAGTATATCATGATGTGTGCATAATATTTTCCCTCTAGGTCTGAGTCAGAGGTTGCTTGATGTTTTTAGTCTCAGGATGTGGCTATACCTAGGAAAAGTATGATTTCACCAGATCAATAGCTATGTACTGTATAACTCTCATATGTTGGACTCCTCAGAAAATAGTGTCAGAGTTGGAGATTTCCCTGAAGGAGTTTTATTGGGAATGCTCTATAAGGAAAGGAAGGAAGAAGATTACAAAGAGGGAGAAAGTGATTGACAATGGCATCAGGGTGGCAATCTCAGCTGGCCCCATGTGGAGCTGGGATGGAAGGGTTCTTTAGACTTATTGCAAGTTGTGGCAAGGTGTCTGTTGTACTCCTGCAGTAAGCATATCTTTCATGTAAAGGGTCTACTTTTGGGCAGTTCATTTCATTTCATTCTGGGGGAATTCCTGGAGAAAGAGAGAAAGAGAGTCTGCTATGAGCCACCAGCAGCTAACACTCCTGGAAAGTGGAAGGAGGAAAGGCTTGATCTTGAAGGAGAGAAGTAGATATCACACTAATACATTTGTGCCTGGTACCTGGAGGAGAAAACAGCTCAGTGATCTTTTCCATCTGAGTATGAGGAGAGCTTAGGATAGGCAGGGTAAATCAGAGAATGTAGGGACTCCTGTTAAAGTCCTGTGTATGTTGATTTATGGACATTCCTCCAAGAGGAGTTTGTACCAGACTGGTAGATCATTTTGTTCCCATGGAATGGGAGGAACTGGCATAAGTGGAGCCCTTTCTTCCCTTGAAGCTTTTTGCATCAGAGGTGTCCAGGTTGTTCAGCGGCTTCCACTTCTGCTAGCTCATTCATTGCTGATCCCCAGGGTCAGGACTCCTGAGCCTCTTACTTTGGTAAAAAAGACCACTTCTTGGAGGCCCAAGTATGTAAAGTGAGTTATAAGTGGACAGAGAAGACAGCAACACATCTCAGGAGACCTTAAGCCAGTGGTAGAAGGAACATTATAATATCTAGAAGAGATAGGGCAGAGTGTCAGAATTGTCAGAGGAGACAGACTGTAATTAAAGTAGGGGAATATAGGAAATTTCTACTATGGCATGAAAAGTCCTGTTACAGTTAAGGAACATTATTGTTAGGAAAATATAAGAAGCATGTATTTACTGAAACCTGAATAATCAAGGAAACATTTAAAAACACAGAAATGTAGATAGAGTTTTGATAAAGATGAAAAGAGACTTGGCAACTATATCCAGGTGTCCTTATAAGAGAATGAAAATTTGAAAACCAAAAAGTAACGTATGTATTTTAAGGGAAGTTAATTAAGAAACAGTAAATGTTGAGTTGAAATGGATTTGAATCTGTAGGTTGAAAAGGACCTGTTATTCAGCTGGGTCCATCAAAAGGCTTTGCTGGAATTAGGGGGTCCTGGAGAGACAGAAATTCTCACTCCTTTAGGTCTATTGCTATGTCAGTTTGGTGCTATAAGAAGTCATGTTTTAAAAATGAATTTTTAATTAATATGTAGTAATTGCATATGCTTATAGGATAAGTGTGACATTTCAATACCTGTATACAGTGTGCAATGATCAG